CACAAACTGCAGACACCGGTCAGACACAAAGTCCACTGGAATTCCAGATATACCAAAAACATGGTTAAAGAGGAAATTAGTGGTCTCTGGTGCAGATGGGGGCTTGGACAACGTGGTGAAGTGGGCAGACTTTGAAAAAAACGATCCGCTATGGTGAGTATCACAGATTTGCCCCGTGAAGAAGGAAGGCTGATGATAAAGTCCAGGGAGATGTGGGACCAGAGTCGAGGTGGAACCAATAAGGAATGTAGTAACCCTGCAGGAGGTTGGTGAGTGGCCTTCCCACAGATACAGGCAGAACAGGATTTCTCAAAGTCTATGATGTCGTTTTTAAGCTCCGGCCACCAAAATTTCTGCAGGATAAACTGAAGAGTGCGGTTGATTCCGGGATGGCAAGCTATCTTGGAGGTGTGCCCCACCTTGGAACGAAGACATGGAGGCACAAAAAGCTTTCCAGAAGGGCATCCAGCTGGGATCGTTGTACCTTCCTTAGCCTGCTCAATTATCTGCTCTATCCCCTGCCTCAGTAGCCCAAAAGTGAAGTGGTCTGGCAGTATGTTGTCCGGCTCGCCTCTCTCCTCTGTAGGGGTCGTAGGTCCTCCATAATGCGTCTGGTTTAGCATTCTTGGAGCTTTTGCGGGATGTTAGGGTGAAATTGTATCTGGCGAGATTTTAGTCTCTTAGCGGTTTGGAGGCATGCTAGATTCTTGTGATCGGTGTACACAGTGAATAGCTGCTTGGTGCCTTGCAGCCAGTGTCTCCACTCCTGTAACACGAGAACTATAGCCATCGGTTCTCTGTTCTCCACGTCATAGTTGGTGACAACTTGTGTTCGTCAACGAGAGAAGAAGGCGCAAGGGTGGAGTCTCTCTTTGTTGTAGAAGTGGACGCTTCGGATTCAGGAGTGGGGGTAGTGTTGTCCCAGCGCTCCCCGGTTGACCAGAGTTAGGGTGGTGCAACATAGGTGGATTTGTAAAAGCCTTCTTTAGCAACTCAAAACAAAAACAGACATGACACTATCATGACAGGACGCATGTCGGCTGCAGGAAGTTGGCCATGTTGGTTTGAAGCAACGTTTTTACTGGCGAAATTCAGGGAACATATTTTGATCTTCAAGGCAATTGACAAATCAGAAGCAGATCTCCTAGTTGGCTAGGCAAAGCTATCTATGGCAATCCAATGTGGGAGGGGCATACCGTCAAAGGTTGATGATGATTCCATGAATTTGCTGCATTACTACTTGCATTTTTAATATTTTAATTTTTATATTTTTGCACTTCAGGAGGACTGGAGAGGATGGTTAAAGGTAAATTCTACATCTCTTTTCTACTTGCTCTGTTTCTGTTAGCTCATGTTGGTCCGAGTGGTAAACACGTACATAAAAGGATGGCGGTGGCGGGGCTGTTGGAATGGCTAAGTTTTCTTTTTATCCAATAAAAATGTCTCCACGCAAAGATCGATTTTTGTTGCTAGGAGACTGAAGCATCCTTTGGCAGCAGGCTTCAGCTCACCACGTCTGTTTTTCCCTCCCTCTTTCTCACTCTCTCCCTCTCTCTCACTCTCACATACAAACACACATTTTCCCTCTCTCTCTCTCTAGCAGACCCAGTCAAACTTCCAGCAGAGAAAGGATTCACAACGAGACAACAGTAAGGTGAGTAAAAAAACAACCTCCCCATCTCTCTCATCTTTGTTAAGATAACTGAGAAAATACATTGTATGTCTGTATCGTAAATTGATGTTGAACTTTGATTTTTCACTTCTACTGATCGCAAGAAGACACATTCTGTTCGGTGGTCCTCTGCAGCATATGTGTGACTGACAAGCTGAAATGATGCAGTCGTGTGTTTGAAGTTCTCATGGAAACGTACGTCGGCGTCTCATGCGTACAGGTGGACCATCTGATGACCCCATGCGATCTCGCCTCAAAATCCTTTAAAAGTGCACTCACGTCAACAAATAGTCAGTTTTTTTCTGGCAAGTAAAGGTGTGGAAGTCGCAAGCGTTTGCATCCAATCTGCATGAATTATGTCACGCCACCCTTGCAAAAGGCTTAACTTTGCCGTCTGTTAGAATGCGACACACTTTAAATCAAACGAAGGTGGAGAGCTGCATCTTATTGTGGAAGTGTGACCTTGCTTTCTCCTTACTTTTTAAAAGAATGCACATCAATGTTATTCATATCTGGGACTGACTATAACATTAGGTACGCCTGCACGTCTCCAAAAAAAATTCTGCTGTTACAAAACAAAAACGGCATCTCAAAATTCTCCTTCTATGTCAAGCTCCTTTTCATCATTTATTTGATAATCAAATAGTTGTATCAACACCTCATCATTTGATTTCACTTCCCCCACTAGTTTCTTGTTGTGATACAGTACCGTATATTTCTTTTAACAACAAATTGAATTTGAAATTCAGCTATTATTCATTTAAGATTAAAAAGGGATTTGGTGGGGACAACATGCTTGTAATATCCATCCTCCATTCTATTTTCTTTATTTGATTAGGGCATGGTTGTGCTGGAGCCTATCCCAGCTGACTCTAGGCGAGAGGCGGGTTAAACTCTGGACTGGTCGCCAGGCAAATATAGACAAACAACCCGTCATGAACCAAACATGCAAGTTTTTGGAAAGTGGGAGGAAGCCGGAGTACAGCATGGGCTCTTTCAATGTTTTCATGTTGATCGGCGCAATTGGTGTTAGGGGCCAAATTAGAATGGTCCCCGGCATCGCTTTTTCATGGAAAATCATCGAACTTCGATGGTCGGATTAGACGATGTCGGCAAAAAAAGCTTGAGCATTTAGTGTCGCCCTCTGTCAAGGTTACTTGCTTTCGATTGGGGCTCAAAATGACTGACTGCCTGCCAAATTTCAGGCATAGGTACGAAAGACTTTCATGCATAACATGCTTACCCGATTCCACATCAATCGCAGAAACTGCCATCTGGGGCAAATATTTTTGTAGTTTGCATGTTCAGGACCCCTAAAATGCATACATTCACACGCAGATACTTTAAAATCAGAGTTTTGGGGCATGTCCTAAGAATTAGGAGTACAGTGATTTTAAATTTATGATACAATTCCTTGTAGTGGAGCTCATTATCTTGGACCTAATATTTTGACTAGCGAGAGTACATCCAAAATTAAAGCTGCTTAACAATGTTTGGAAGAAGAATGATCAAATATGATAAAGAGCAAAAAAAAAAAGAAAAAAACGCTTCACAGAGCAGTGAACTGAGCCCCACCAAGTAAAGATCCACGATAAATGATTGCCAACACAAAAAGGATGAAATTAAGCTCCTCCCCTCAGTCAAAGCAATATTTTTACCTACCATGCTCATGTCACGGTTCTCTGTATGAAAAATCCTGAAAAAATGTCATGAAAGTAATAATACCTCCAACAATATTAATTTGTATAAACTGATCTTTTGAGGATGTGCAGGTGCCATGTTTAGTCCAGTGTATTGTCTTATTGTTAGTGTAATAACCTATGTTGTGCTATGTCAAAACAAGAAAAAAAACACAACAAATTCGACAAACAAGAAAAGTCCAGATGCCTCGATTCAGTCTTTGCGAAATACAATGACCCAGATGACTGTCAATCTACAGACACCTCAAGATTTTATTTTTATTTTTGCTGTGGTGACAGTAAGATAAAAATAACATGGGCAGTTATGCTCTTAGGTTAATGGTACTTCCTTTTTATGTACATATGCCTCGATTCAGTCTTTGCGAAATACAATGACCCAGATGACTGTCAATCTACATACACCTCAAGATTTTATTTTCATTTTTGCTGTGGTGACAGTAAGATAAAAATAACATGGGCAGTTATGCTCTTAGGTTAATGGTACTTCCTTTTTATGTACATATTTGTGTGTTTGTGTGTGCGATTCGGGGAGTAAAGGTGGGTCAAAAAAGATGAATAGATGTAGGAAGCGGGCATTTGGTAACGTGTGTCAAACCTTGACGATACTCCTGTGTGGGTGTGCATGTGTGCTCTGCATAGATGTATTTTGTGTGTATTCAAAGGCTGTGTGTTTTTTTATGAGAGAGGGGGCGAGTCTGCAACATGGCCTTGTGTTTCAGCACTTCTCTGCTGGTGAATATGCTTACATGAGCTCCTGTTGGAGCACCTTGATGATGATGATGTGTGCGTGTGTGTGTGTGTGTGTGTGTGTGTGTGTGTGTGTGTGTGTGTGTGTGTGTGTGTGTGGTGTGTGTGTGAGTGTGCGCGCGCGCGTGTGCGTGCGTGCATGCATGCGTGGCCTTGTAGCTTCCACACAACCCCTCTCACCGGACTATGCAGTGCACTGCCTCAGCAATGGGAAATTATCAGTGATGCTCGTGTGTGTGACATATTAAGTGTCTCTCTACTGTGTTTTTACACAGCAGTGGTGCATTTCTGTGGTAATGTCAAAAGAAAACCTGTTCTAGTCAACTTTGGACATGTCGCTATTCAATCACAACCATCTGACAACACACTTGGGGATAGTACCCGGGTCATCGGCTTGAAAGTGCACAGCAGTAACCCCTGAGCTAAAACTCTGGGTCGCAGAAATGCCAAATTGCATTATAACCACAATGGAAGATATAACTGAGGCTGGCATCCGTTATACATTTTCATATGAGGGATCTTTCATGATGTATTCGCTCCTCTCTCTCCCAGCAGCTAATCCAAAATTAAAGCTGCTTAACAATGTTTGGAAGAAGAATGATCAAATATGATAAAGAGCAAAAAAAAAAAGAAAAAAACGCTTCACAGAGCAGTGAACTGAGCCCCACCAAGTAAAGATCCACGATAAATGATTGCCAACACAAAAAGGATGAAATTAAGCTCCTCCCCTCAGTCAAAGCAATATTTTTACCTACCATGCTCATGTCACGGTTCTCTGTATGGAAAATCCTGAAAAAAATGTCATGAAAGTAATAATACCTCCAACAATATTAATTTGTATAAACTGATCTTTTGAGGATGTGCAGGTGCCATGTTCACACACACACACACACACACACATACACACAGCGGCAGCATCCTCCCTCTCAGCGCGACTCCTCCGGGGATCGGGAGCAGACCCAGTCAAACTTCCAGCAGAGAAAGGATTCACAACGAGACAACAGTAAGGTGAGTAAAAAAACAACCTCCCCATCTCTCTCATCTTTGTTAAGATAACTGAGAAAATACATTGTATGTCTGTATCGTAAATTGATGTTGAACTTTGATTTTTCACTTCTACTGATCGCAAGAAGACACATTCTGTTCGGTGGTCCTCTGCAGCATATGTGTGACTGACAAGCTGAAATGATGCAGTCGTGTGTTTGAAGTTCTCATGGAAACGTACGTCGGCGTCTCATGCGTACAGGTGGACCATCTGATGACCCCATGCGATCTCGCCTCAAAATCCTTTAAAAGTGCACTCACGTCAACAAATAGTCAGTTTTTTTCTGGCAAGTAAAGGTGTGGAAGTCGCAAGCGTTTGCATCCAATCTGCATGAATTATGTCACGCCGCCCTTGGAAAAGGCTTAACTTTGCCGTCTGTTAGAATGCGACACCCTTTAAATCAAACGAAGGTGGAGAGCTGCATCTTATTGTGGAAGTGTGACCTTGCTTTCTCCTTACTTTTTAAAAGAATGCACATCAATGTTATTCATATCTGGGACTGACTATAACATTAGGTACGCCTGCACGTCTCCAAAAAAAATTCTGCTGTTACAAAACAAAAACGGCATCTCAAAATTCTCCTTCTATGTCAAGCTCCTTTTCATCATTTATTTGATAATCAAATAGTTGTATCAACACCTCATCATTTGATTTCACTTCCCCCACTAGTTTCTTGTTGTGATACAGTACCGTATATTTCTTTTAACAACAAATTGAATTTGAAATTCAGCTATTATTCATTTAAGATTAAAAAGGGATTTGGTGGGGACAACATGCTTGTAATATCCATCCTCCATTCTATTTTCTTTATTTGATTAGGGCATGGTTGTGCTGGAGCCTATCCCAGCTGACTCTAGGCGAGAGGCGGGTTAAACTCTGGACTGGTCGCCAGGCAAATATAGACAAACAACCCGTCATGAACCAAACATGCAAGTTTTTGGAAAGTGGGAGGAAGCCGGAGTACAGCATGGGCTCTTTCAATGTTTTCATGTTGATCGGCGCAATTGGTGTTAGGGGCCAAATTAGAATGGTCCCCGGCATCGCTTTTTCATGGAAAATCATCGAACTTCGATGGTCGGATTAGACGATGTCGGCAAAAAAAGCTTGAGCATTTAGTGTCGCCCTCTGTCAAGGTTACTTGCTTTCGATTGGGGCTCAAAATGACTGACTGCCTGCCAAATTTCAGGCATAGGTACGAAAGACTTTCATGCATAACATGCTTACCCGATTCCACATCAATCGCAGAAACTGCCATCTGGGGCAAATATTTTTGTAGTTTGCATGTTCAGGACCCCTAAAATGCATACATTCACACGCAGATACTTTAAAATCAGAGTTTTGGGGCATGTCCTAAGAATTAGGAGTACAGTGATTTTAAATTTATGATACAATTCCTTGTAGTGGAGCTCATTATCTTGGACCTAATATTTTGACTAGCGAGAGTACATCCAAAATTAAAGCTGCTTAACAATGTTTGGAAGAAGAATGATCAAATATGATAAAGAGCAAAAAAAAAAAGAAAAAAACGCTTCACAGAGCAGTGAACTGAGCCCCACCAAGTAAAGATCCACGATAAATGATTGCCAACACAAAAAGGATGAAATTAAGCTCCTCCCCTCAGTCAAAGCAATATTTTTACCTACCATGCTCATGTCACGGTTCTCTGTATGAAAAATCCTGAAAAAATGTCATGAAAGTAATAATACCTCCAACAATATTAATTTGTATAAACTGATCTTTTGAGGATGTGCAGGTGCCATGTTTAGTCCAGTGTATTGTCTTATTGTTAGTGTAATAACCTATGTTGTGCTATGTCAAAACAAGAAAAAAAACACAACAAATTCGACAAACAAAAAACAACCTCCCCATCTCTCTCATCTTTGTTAAGATAACTGAGAAAATACATTGTATGTCTGTATCGTAAATTGATGTTGAACTTTGATTTTTCACTTCTACTGATCGCAAGAAGACACATTCTGTTCGGTGGTCCTCTGCAGCATATGTGTGACTGACAAGCTGAAATGATGCAGTCGTGTGTTTGAAGTTCTCATGGAAACGTACGTCGGCGTCTCATGCGTACAGGTGGACCATCTGATGACCCCATGCGATCTCGCCTCAAAATCCTTTAAAAGTGCACTCACGTCAACAAATAGTCAGTTTTTTTCTGGCAAGTAAAGGTGTGGAAGTCGCAAGCGTTTGCATCCAATCTGCATGAATTATGTCACGCCACCCTTGCAAAAGGCTTAACTTTGCCGTCTGTTAGAATGCGACACACTTTAAATCAAACGAAGGTGGAGAGCTGCATCTTATTGTGGAAGTGTGACCTTGCTTTCTCCTTACTTTTTAAAAGAATGCACATCAATGTTATTCATATCTGGGACTGACTATAACATTAGGTACGCCTGCACGTCTCCAAAAAAAATTCTGCTGTTACAAAACAAAAACGGCATCTCAAAATTCTCCTTCTATGTCAAGCTCCTTTTCATCATTTATTTGATAATCAAATAGTTGTATCAACACCTCATCATTTGATTTCACTTCCCCCACTAGTTTCTTGTTGTGATACAGTACCGTATATTTCTTTTAACAACAAATTGAATTTGAAATTCAGCTATTATTCATTTAAGATTAAAAAGGGATTTGGTGGGGACAACATGCTTGTAATATCCATCCTCCATTCTATTTTCTTTATTTGATTAGGGCACGGTTGTGCTGGAGCCTATCCCAGCTGACTCTAGGCGAGAGGCGGGTTAAACTCTGGACTGGTCGCCAGGCAAATATAGACAAACAACCCGTCATGAACCAAACATGCAAGTTTTTGGAAAGTGGGAGGAAGCCGGAGTACAGCATGGGCTCTTTCAATGTTTTCATGTTGATCGGCGCAATTGGTGTTAGGGGCCAAATTAGAATGGTCCCCGGCATCGCTTTTTCATGGAAAATCATCGAACTTCGATGGTCGGATTAGACGATGTCAGCAAAAAAAGCTTGAGCATTTAGTGTCGCCCTCTGTCAAGGTTACTTGCTTTCGATTGGGGCTCAAAATGACTGACTGCCTGCCAAATTTCAGGCATAGGTACGAAAGACTTTCATGCATAACATGCTTACCCGATTCCACATCAATCGCAGAAACTGCCATCTGGGGCAAATATTTTTGTAGTTTGCGTGTTCAGGACCCCTAAAATGCATACATTCACACGCAGATACTTTAAAATCAGAGTTTTGGGGCATGTCCTAAGAATTAGGAGCACAGTGATTTTAAATTTATGATACAATTCCTTGTAGTGGAGCTCATTATCTTGGACCTAATATTTTGACTAGCGAGAGTACATCCAAAATTAAAGCTGCTTAACAATGTTTGGAAGAACAATGATCAAATATGATAAAGAGCAAAAAAAAAAAGAAAAAAACGCTTCACAGAGCAGTGAACTGAGCCCCACCAAGTAAAGATCCACGATAAATGATTGCCAACACAAAAAGGATGAAATTAAGCTCCTCCCCTCAGTCAAAGCAATATTTTTACCTACCATGCTCATGTCACGGTTCTCTGTATGGAAAATCCTGAAAAAAATGTCATGAAAGTAATAATACCTCCAACAATATTAATTTGTATAAACTGATCTTTTGAGGATGTGCAGGTGCCATGTTTAGTCCAGTGTATTGTCTTATTGTTAGTGTAATAACCTATGTTGTGCTATGTCAAAACAAGAAAAAAAACACAACAAATTCGACAAACAAGAAAAGTCCAGATGCCTCGATTCAGTCTTTGCGAAATACAATGACCCAGATGACTGTCAATCTACAGACACCTCAAGATTTTATTTTTATTTTTGCTGTGGTGACAGTAAGATAAAAATAACATGGGCAGTTATGCTCTTAGGTTAATGGTACTTCCTTTTTATGTACATATTTGTGTGTTTGTGTGTGCGATTCGGGGAGTAAAGGTGGGTCAAAAAAGATGAATAGATGTAGGAAGCGGGCATTTGGTAACGTGTGTCAAACCTTGACGATACTCCTGTGTGGGTGTGCATGTGTGCTCTGCATAGATGTATTTTGTGTGTATTCAAAGGCTGTGTGTTTTTTTATGAGAGAGGGGGCGAGTCTGCAACATGGCCTTGTGTTTCAGCACTTCTCTGCTGGTGAATATGCTTACATGAGCTCCTGTTGGAGCACCTTGATGATGATGATGTGTGCGTGTGTGTGTGTGTGTGTGTGTGTGTGTGTGTGTGTGTGTGTGTGTGTGTGTGTGTGTGTGTGTGTGTGTGTGTGTGTGTGTGTGAGTGTGCGCGCGCGCGTGTGCGTGCGTGCATGCATGCGTGGCCTTGTAGCTTCCACACAACCCCTCTCACCGGACTATGCAGTGCACTGCCTCAGCAATGGGAAATTATCAGTGATGCTCGTGTGTGTGACATATTAAGTGTCTCTCTACTGTGTTTTTACACAGCAGTGGTGCATTTCTGTGGTAATGTCAAAAGAAAACCTGTTCTAGTCAACTTTGGACATGTCGCTATTCAATCACAACCATCTGACAACACACTTGGGGATAGTACCCGGGTCATCGGCTTGAAAGTGCACAGCAGTAACCCCTGAGCTAAAACTCTGGGTCGCAGAAATGCCAAATTGCATTATAACCACAATGGAAGATATAACTGAGGCTAGCATCCATTATACATTTTCATATGAGGGATCTTTCATGATGTATTCGCTCCTCTCTCTCCCAGCAGCTAAATGCCCCTTCAACATTCATTTTCCAAACCGCTTTAGCCTCACTGGGGTCGCGGGGAGTGTTGGAGCCTATCCCAGCAGTCTTCAGGCAGTGGGCGGGGGACACCCTGAACCGGTTGCCAGCCAATCGCGGGGCACACAGAAACGAACAACCATTCGTGCTCACACTCACGCCTAGGGACAATTTGGAGTTTTCGCCGTTCAACATTCAATTTTATTATTGATCAGTCGGTCAATGTGTGTCAAATATATTTAACTCGAATCGTGTGTGTTTGCACCCATGCAATAGTGACCGGGGTCGGGAATGCTATTAAAATACTTTTAAGATGTTATGATTATAATTCGTTCATTGAATTGATTTCTACAATGATTCAGAAGGAATGGCCCACGGTGGTGTCATAGTTATGAATGATATCCGGTGACGTGAACCACAAGAATCCGCGGAGCACCGAATCTGCCTCGATTAAATCCACCAAAATCGCATTTGACCGCCTGCGCTACAAAATAAACCTGCTTTTGAGAAGTCTAAAATGGTGTCGATATCTTATGTGACCAAATTTGCAGATGCATTGGGGGGCGAGGCATAAACGCCCGGTAAGGTGTAGCGCATCAACTAAATTCCAAACATGCTGAATTAGTCCATTGCCCCAGCACGAAAATGATGAAGCACTCCTTTTTACACTTGGCGCACCCTACTTTCTGTTACCAAATAGTCAGATGACTCAGGGGGGAGGCAACTCCGTGCACTGAAATGTCCAAATGGGTGCAACACGGCCCCTGACGCACTGGACTAGACTTGCGCTGGCACGAAAATGAAGTTATGCCTGCTTTTATGCCGAATGCACGGGTTCCACTCTACCAAAATAGGGCCCAAAACGTTCAACCAACATTAGCTGTGAGCTTAAAGCTAACATATACTACGAATCGCTACAAGCAGGCTAACAGAAATTAGCATATATGTTAGAATAATTATAAACCATCAAACAACTGCTACTTTATTACACTCATACTGGCAACACAAACAAATGGAGCATACGACAATAATCAGGCAAACATTTGCTCTATGGGAACAAGAATATTAAAGTTACAAAATGTGAAGCGTCCTCTTCCTTTTGCTCCTAATTAAACGGCATTTCTTAAAGTAGAGCTCAGTGCGCTATTTGGCACTGCACTGGAGGCAGACATCTGAAGAATCTGACCTACCAATGTGCCAATAAAAAAAAATGTTTTGAGGAACATAGAATGTCCAAAATGTTCATATGATGAATGTTGGTAAATAGGCCAGTGCAATTGTACTGTGAAAACCCATAAAAACTTTTTTTTTAAATCTGCACTACGGCTGGGGCACAATCTATAAAATATACAGTATCGGAGGCAAACACTGAAATATAAAGTCACCTCATGTTGCCTTTTTACTTCAAATTCAAATTTAAAAGAGCCCTCTACTTGAAAAGTTGCTTCAGTATCCTTCAGCAATGTTGAAGCTCCACATGAAATGTAAACCTCACTCCTACTCCTAAAATGTGACTTCATACAAATCAACTGCAAAAGCCATCCTATAAGTGTTAAAAAAGTGAGTTTAAAAAAAACATGTATGGGATCAACATTGCTGTATATGTAACAGTTTTTCAGCTGTGCCATGATTATAACATTAAACTAATTACCTTGGAGGCTTCCTGTAGTGGTCTCTGCTTTTCAGGCTTTTTTGGTGAGGATGTGTATGCGTTTGTGTTTTAATGCTTTGCTGTTTCTTCTGCTTTAATGAACAGCGCCTGAAGATCGCCCTTCCGTGTCTCTCTCTCTCTCTCTCTCTCTCTCTCTCTCTCTCTCTCTCTCTCTCTCTCTCTCTCTCTCTCTCTCTCGCGCGCGCGCGCGCGCACACACACACACACACACACACACACACACACATATACACTACATGTGTGTGTGTGTGTGTGTGTGTGTGTGTGTGTGTGTGTGTGTGTGTGTGTGTGTCTCGTCATCTCGCAGGTAAATAAGCAGTGAGACTAATGTTGCCTGTCCACAGTTCAGGCGACGAGGGGTCTGAGAGCTTCAAATGTTGTCAGCTGGCTATGATCCTAATTAGACCAAAGGGTGCAGAAGTGGGCCACCATTTGCATTGGCCAGAGCAATTGTGATAACAACCACAATCAATTGGGGCGCTTTCTCTGCAGCCTTACAATTCCAAAGTTTTGATGATACTGAGATATTGCGTCTGCTGTTGTTTTCTTCGCTTTACCTTCAAACCGAATGACATGCATACAGATTTTTTTTAATGTTATCCAAGAATCCCCCACATGGTAAGAAAAAGATAAATCACTATGTATATTGGAACATGTAATGGAGAGAAAACAGAATCCACCTAAAATACCCTTTGTACAGTAGTTGTCAAAGTCTGTCTACTAGGGACTGGTACATGTGTTTCCGGGTTTCGGCGCAGTTGTCATAGACATAAAGTGGTGTATCAACTAGGTCCAGCAAACAGACACACTTGTATGGTGGCCACATTGGCAGGTGCAAAATTTCCATCAGAGGCAATGCATGGACAAGTAGGCTGTGTCCAAATTCACATGCTGCACCCTCCGAAGGCTGCATTTTCAGATGCATGTGATTTACAAATTCTAGATCGACCATTCTCAGGCTCAGTCCTTCGACGCCTTCAAATTCTACTCCTCATGTAGCCTCCATGAAACTAGTATTGATATGTTTGTAGTTCTAATGCTTTAACTAATTATATTCAAACACAAACGGCAGTAACAAATGCAAACATAGAATGCAACAATACTCGCAGGCATATATTCTTTATCCTCTGTGAAAAATATTACTGCAGCTAGATTGCGACTGCCTTTTTTTCTGTTTTTCATCATCAAATCAATGTGTAGCTTGTCTGTATTTATGTATTTCTATAATTGTAGCACGTCTTTGTGTCTCCACTTGGTAACCGCTGGTGCTTCCACCGCCGCAGCGTGGATATGAATCAAGCCAGAGCCGGCAATCACGCATTTGAATGATGCCTCCGCCATTGCCCCCAGGGTCATTACATGACATTTAAGCTTGATAGATGTCTCTTGCAGATGGTTAATTCTGCCTTTTACAGGCCGGCCGTCGTCCAACTGATGGACTCATGGAGTTATCTGACTGGTGGGGACAGCTTTTTTAACATCTGCCAAAATGAGGGGAATTCACTCAGATTTGAGCTCAACTGGAACACAATGGTCAGATAACTGGGCTTACATTACTATGCATTGACCAATTGATCTCTTGACCCCTCACCTAACAGTTGAGAGGTTCTGGATAACAATCTCGGCTCAAATCATCTAGTGTGAAGTTTGTTTGTTTGTTGGTTTCACCCTGGGTTTTCTTCAGGTACTCTGACGCCCTCACACATTCCAAAAACATGCACAATGTGCTCATTGAAGACAATTAATTGTGTGAATCAGAATTTAAATCCCTCCACCGTGACGGCCAATCCATTGTTTATTTATATGTGCCTTGACATTAGCTGGAGACTGGCTCTTTGTTTGTCTACTGCAGGGGTGCCCAACCAGTCGATCGCGATCGACTGGACTGGTAGACAGGTAGAGATGTGTTTGTGTGTGTGTGTTGTTATTTTATAGTTTTGTGTTTGTGTAAACTAGACCGTAAGCATCCTATCAGTTTCACTTTCACAAAAAGTACGGTATTTAAAAAAATAAAATAAAAAAGCAGGTCGCCTTTAACCTTCGGTGGTGCGTGACCTCATCACTGGAAGTTGTTAGCAGTCTACAGTCTGTAATTGCAGCTTGTGATCAGAGCTGTTGCAATATATTTAATTTGTTTTATATGCAATTCACCAATGGCACAGGCAAAGAATGGGAATATGGAGCGCCAGGAGAAGCATTTTAAAATGATACAAGTGAGCTGCGATCGTGATGTTGATGCATTTAACACGCTGCGAAAGTGCGGCCCATGCCTCCGCGTCAGGCAGTGCTTTCATTTTCACAAACTCTTGTATCTACTTTTTTGTCCTGTTTTGTTCATGTTCGGGGCCATTATGGCTGTTGCTCATCATGGCATGCGTAGCAGGTGGGCATGCGCGTGCGTGCGTATGCGTGCATGTACAGTAACTGTCGATAGCAGAGGGTTGGTTGGCTTGAAAAGTAGCTCTTCGGTCAAAAAAGCTTGGGCACCCCTGGTCTATTCTACGTACCCTGACACCGACTGGCAACAAGTCCATTGTTTGTCTCTATGGACCCTGACAATGACTTTCGACCAGCTGATTTTTTTTTTTTTACTGTATGTGCCTTGACAGTAACCTGCTCAAAAGACAGAAAAACAAAACGGCAGAGATTGTCGGTAGGCTGCAATGAAATCTGTTGGGCTTTGTGCTATGTGGCGGTCTGAGCATCGACCCTGCACGGATGCGTGCCCTGCACAGCAGTCCTGCCTGTTAGACGAGTACAGGATGCGGTGGTGGAAAAAAAAAAAAAGCAGGCGCAACATGAGAAGGGAGTGTGCGCTTGACGTGTCCGTCAACTGCTCAATCTCTAGCTCATGATCGTCTCTATTCTTTATTTCTGACTGTTTACTCATGTTCTGCATGTCTGTCTTCAATAGGTGAGAGATGTTGCTAGCTGCAATCGGCCATCTGCTCCGTTTCTTCTTCATTCAGGTAAGGCACTTCTCAAGGTACGGGAGTTCCTTGACTTCCAAGTTTAATTGTGAATGTGACCGAATTCGTATTCCCGAATCAGCATTCCCCATTTTGTGTGGTTTTAGACTGGAAAATTCTCATGGCACAACTGCCCCAAAAAATAAAAATGCCACCAAAATGACAGATTCTGAAATAATGATAACCTCATCTCAATATACTCCCAGATGTGTGAAATCTGGTCCTGTGTAGTTTAACACAAGGATTAGAGCAGTAAGAATGGCAAAAGTTGGTTAAGCAGGTTGATTGGATCGTCTGCCATCTCGTGAATTTAATTGTTCTGTCCGTTATGTCGCTGGCATGGATAGTTGAACGAAATTAATTGTCATGAAAAACGAAATGTGTTTGCTCCAGTTTGGTGAAAATGAATAATTTCACACTAATGTGCCACAGCTAGGGATGGGAACTTGAAACCGGTTCTTTTTGACAGTACAGTATGTGTTAAATGAACAAGCAAGTCTTGTGTTGGTTCTGCAACTTCACCAACTTGGCACTACCATCCAACCGTGTAACATATATTATATTGTTGTTTTGAAGTGAAGACTATTGTATTGGCTCTGTTCGCTCAGAGACAGCAACACACCAAAAGTCGCCTTTCTGTTACATCATACTTGTGCCTCACTCTCATGTGATCAATCAACCTGCACTTAATCCAACTGTTATATTGTGTCACAATTATTTGTATTTGCTCACCAAAAGAGAATCAAAGGAGAATCTGTCAGGAAACTAATCAATAAGTAGTTTCAATTATGTAAATGTAGTCGATATCTTTCTGAATTCCCATCGCTGGCCACGGCAGAGTGGTTGGGAATCACGAGACGGTTTTTGATGGCAATATTCTTAATATTCTTGAAAATAGAATCAGAAGTGCTTGACCTGAACAATGGATTTTGCTGGCATTTTTTCAAAGACATTAATTCCAGATTTAAAAAAACATTTCAACTGGGATTATCTGATGAGAAAAACAAGACATTTTAGGACACACACACACACACACACACACACACGCACACACACACAGACACACACACACATGAGCCACTGACTTTACACCCTACAATATTCGAATGCACGACTGTATTTTAGAAAAAAGAATGATGTTCTTGTTTCTGCATTTTCTTTTTTTTTTGCATGACCTTATAATGTAAACATTTGATTGTTCTGCCTGTCATTACGAGACACTGGCAAAGATGGATCATCAAGTGAAACATGCTGTGTGTAAAATACAAAAAGTTTCGGAAGTAGTCACACTTTGAAACTCAATAGACGTTCCTTGGTGAAATTGAATCTCCTTATCATGTTGAAGTTCTGCAATGATTAAAAAAAAATAGAAGGGACAAAGTGTGCTGCAATTTCCTGGCTTTGCTCTGGAATTATGGCGGTATTTTCCATCAAGATCTAATGAAGCGCACACACCAGAGAAGATGTTATTTGGCCCATTTCGAGGAATGCACATTATTCAGAGTCTCAGCTGCTTTTATATAACAACACCTCAACATCTCTTACGTAAAAGTTAAAAACAAAGCATTTCATGGAGATGTTGTTGAGTCTCAATGCTGGGTGATCATCACACATGGCAGTTCGCCTCCTGTCAGTTTGTGACGGGAAAAGACGAAGACACCAGTGACTTGGTCATACAAATCTCACTTCAATTGTCTTATTAGTGCCTCGCTCCTCTCTGAAACGGGCGTTTATGGTGTTTACTCAGCATTTCAGACGTCTGTTGCAGAGAGAGAGAGAGAGAGAGAGAGAGAGAGAGAGAGAGAGAGAGAGAGACACACACACACACACACACACACACACACGCACACACACACACAGACACACACACACATGAGCCACTGACTTTACACCCTACAATATTCGAATGCACGACTGTATTTTAGAAAAAAGAATGATGTTCTTGTTTCTGCATTTTCTTTTTTTTTTGCATGACCTTATAATGTAAACATTTGATTGTTCTGCCTGTCATTACGAGACACTGGCAAAGATGGATCATCAAGTGAAACATGCTGTGTGTAAAATACAAAAAGTTTCGGAAGTAGTCACACTTTGAAACTCAATAGACGTTCCTTGGTGAAATTGAATCTCCTTATCATGTTGAAGTTCTGCAATGATTAAAAAAAAATAGAAGGGACAAAGTGTGCTGCAATTTCCTGGCTTTGCTCTGGAATTATGGCGGTATTTTCCATCAAGATCTAATGAAGCGCACACACCAGAGAAGATGTTATTTGGCCCATTTCGAGGAATGCACATTATTCAGAGTCTCAGCTGCTTTTATATAACAACACCTCAACATCTCTTACGTAAAAGTTAAAAACAAAGCATTTCATGGAGATGTTGTTGAGTCTCAATGCTGGGTGATCATCACACATGGCAGTTCGCCTCCTGTCAGTTTGTGACGGGAAAAGACGAAGACACCAGTGACTTGGTCATACAAATCTCACTTCAATTGTCTTATTAGCGCCTCGCTCCTCTCTGAAACGGGCGTTTATGGTGTTTACTGAGCATTTCAGACGTCTGTTGCAGAGAGAGAGAGAGAGAGAGAGAGAGAGAGAGAGAGAGAGAGAGAGAGAGCAGAGGAAGAAGACGAGGGAGGCGGCAAGACATAGAAATAGTCTGCTTTTAGGTCAACTCCTTAGAGAAGCCGCAGAGGTGTGTGTGTGTGTGTGTGTGTGTGTGTGTGTGTGTGGGTGTGTTTGTGTGTGTGTGTGTGTGTGTGTGTGTGTGTGTGTGTGCACGTGTGGGGGCGCCTGTTTGTCTTTACGTGTGTGTCATATTACAGAGTAGAGTGGTAAAGATATGGCAGCCGCCTGAAGAAAAATCTCTGCTGCCTGCATCCAAAGGGAAGCTTTCATCCTCCTACACACACACACACACACACACACACACACACACACACACACACACACACACACACACTGAGATTGACAAGCTTGCTCTTATAGGCCAAAGATTTATGATTTTTATTTGACAGAAGACATATTGCACATTTTTATCATGATTTAAAACACCTCCCAGGTGTCTTACTATTATGTCTGTGACATGTTTTCATCAAAATAACCCAAAGATTAAGCATGATAGCAAACTGCTCATTCTTGTTATAGCAAAACTAAAATTAGCCCGTCTGATGTAACTGTTAAATTGCCACTGCTTACCCTGCCCCTTGGACTGCAGAGCCAGTGCCAAGTGTGGCCTTTGTTAGCGGGTGGGGCTTCTTTCTTGAAAAGTGAATGTGAACGGCAAAAAGACATACATTTCCCCCACGAAAACAGTAAAAACATATTGCATTTTCCTTCGTGGAGGCAGCACTTCATAATAATTGCTGTCCAATTACACTTCAATGAATGTACCTAATATATATATAGTGTGTGTGTATGTGTGTGTGTGTGTGTGTGTGTGTGTGTGTGTGTGTGTGTGTGTGTGTGTGTGTGTGTGTGTGTGTGGTGCAAACAATGTTTTTTTTATATGAGACATGGCTTCGACCTGAGCAAAAAAAAAAATGCAAACAGGAGAGTGTTTCAGCATAAAGCAGGTTACAAAAAAAATCTCTGAATAAGCCAATTCCGAACCATGAATATTGTGAGAGTTTACTGTCGTGAATTGCCACCTGCCATCTCTTGGCATCTTTGTGCCACAGACTTATTGAGGGATTCACAGCTTCTGAACTGAGAACAAACGGGAATTTGCTGTAGTGCTTTTCCACCATCTCGCCGCATCTTGTTGACATGGAACTATGTCGAAGTACGTTGAGGCACTTCATTTTGTGTCGGCAAATTCCATAGAAATAATGCTGGGTTTTACTGAAGTGCTTTGCTAATTTCTTGTAGTATCTTGAAAACAAGAAACCATGCTGAATTGAGTTGAAGAGCTTCATTGAGAAACAAGTAGTGCCACAAGTAGTGCCTTGCCTTGCCACATACTGTATCTTGTGACATAAATAGGCAATTACAAGTCACGCAATTTATTCAAGGTTATTCACTATTAGCGCAACGACTAGCCCAGTCCCACTAAACTTTATGCATTACTGCTAATCATTGAAGCTTAATTACTGGTGAACTACTGTTGCTGTGACCAATTCTATATGATTCTGATCAAAAGTATGATTCAGCTGAAAGTTGGTGTTTTAAGCAAGCAGGGGAAGTGTAGGGGGTGTGGGGAAGTGTGACCTTTTGATTCCGCCGGCTGATTGCGACCTTCATGTCGCACTTAAACTTGGCCGTCATTACCATGCGGGCCAGACCGCCAAGCTGAGCCAGATCGATATGATCAGTTTTCTGCGCAGCGCGTGCAAGTGGATGATACAATTCAAGCGATTCCAACCCCTTTACTGCATTGATTCTGACCTTTTATGCACCTCAACTCAGTGATTCTGCAATTCAGCTTTGCGATACATTAAAGAACCTGTCGTCAGGCTTCCCGAGCATGATAAAACCCGCTTTCAGATTATACACAAGCCCAAGATAATAACATTTTCATTATTAGTGGGGGGGGGGCATATTGTGGATAAATTATTTTTTAATTGCTTGTAGACAAATAGTCCAGTGTAATTTCCCACTGATCAAGTGTGAAATTAAAGTAAAATCTTTTGTAAGATGCTCAGCTCCAAAACCATGTCTCTCAGCAAACTGTGGATTGTGACGAATTTGCATCATACCACTTCTACCCTTGCCCTGATTTCACCTAATATACACATTGTCTCGCTGCCTTTTACAAATTTTGAATGTTTTGAAGTTGTTTCTGGTGTGTTCCGCTCACATTAAACCGATTTGTTCTTTTTTTTCTTGTTTTAGTGTTTGAGGTGAAAGTCGGTGATCACATTAGCAAACACGGCAGCCAAAACACAGCTTCCGATAATTTGGATTGAGTCGTGAACTTGGTAGTATCAGATGTCCTTGTTGTCTCTCTCACACACACACACACACACACACACACACACACACACACACAAACAGAATTTC